AGCCCTCATAACCCATACTCTCACAGTTAACCTCTACCCCTTCCACTTCCTTTGGTACACCCACTGCTATTGCCCAGTGGTTCTTAACGCTTCAGCCACACATGTCATGCTCATTGTCTCTCACCTCCAAGGCCTTTACCCATTCTGTTTTCTGCTCTGAGCGCCCTTACATACCTGTTCTTTGTAACGAGGAACAGGTGTTACCTCTTCTCTGTATCCTCTGAGGCAGTGGCATTTGCTTTCTCAGTATTTTAAACATCTTATGCATGACCCTATTAAATAATTTATAAGAGTATGAAGGGTTTTTGTTTGTTTTGTACTTCTCACTTCTCTTCTAGCTTGAGCTCTTGATGGACAAGCATTGGGCCTTATTCCTTTTGGTCTTCATGGAACCTAGTTCAAGACTAGGCTCATGGTAGTATCTGAAAAGGTACTGGATGAATGAGTGAATGAGTGAATGTGACTAGCACCCTGGCAGGAAGTGAGAACAGCCTCCCTACAGAATGTTTTAATGGATTCTCATCTGCCACTGCCTTGACTGCGCCTCTTCCAATTCCACTGATATTTCACAGACTTTAAAGTAATCTCTCCCAGGGTTAAAGAGAGCAATTACTCTTGCCAGGCTCCTGGCAGGCACTGCCAACGGCTCTTTAAAGGCCTTCTTGAGCCATCTCTGAGACTCCAAACGTGGACACATGCTATGGAATTTACATCCATTTGTTTAGTGCAGTACACTCACCTCTAGTGTTATACAAGATGATTTCTAGGTGATTTGTGGATGTTGTAAAATAGATATGCTATGTCATTTAAAAAGAACTCTTTTTTGATTGATGATCGCAAGTTACAGGTTCTGTTTAAAAATTATTTAGGTTTAAAATGAATAGATTTAAAGAGAAATATTAAGTTCAAAAAACACAGGTGTATGGCAAAACCTGTGAAGTGGTGCCTGAATGACTAATGGTAGAAAAATAGCTGATTTCACTCCTGTAATCATTCACATACTAATTCATCAAATGTTTATGGCACGTTGCATGGTAGACCCTATTCTAAGTAAGTGGGATATAGGCAGTGAACACTTTGTTTTGGTCTCTGTCCTTTAAAATTTAGACAATTTCCTTGGGCACATTGCACATTCCACTACTGGCAAGAACAATTCGCTAGTGTTCACATTGGTGTGGGTTGACTAGATTGGATGAGAATGACATAATCACTTTCTGGAAAAAGAAAAATATATACAAATATACATGTACATCTATATGTATGTGTGTGTACATGTGTGATCTTGTGATCTGGATTACTGTTTTGCCAATTCTAATCAACAGGATATGCCAGTGGGTATATACATATACACTCACCACACAACCACCCGAATATTAGAATTGTTAAGTCACACTGCATAGGAAATGGAGCTGTAAAACAACTTGCCAGGAGTGGAGTTGAAAGGTAGACAGTGAGTAATAGGAACAGAACTGACATTGGCATCAGATCAGAATTCAAATATCAGTTTTGCTATTTACTTCAAGACTTTGGGCATGCTCACAACATTCAAGGCCTTAAATGATTAGTTATGCCTAGCATGGATGTGGGAAGGTGAATTGGATGATTAGTTATGTCTGACAGCAGCATGAAAGGGGAGAATGGCAACATGCTTGCTGCACTGCATTTACTGTTTCTGAGCTGGATAGCTTTGAAGAGATCTTTGAAGGCTAACTTTATGCAGTTCTGCAAAAATCAACTTCTCCATATTTTTCAAAAGAGTAAGTAGTGAGTGAATATGGCAAAGATGGCAGTGATGGTGCTGGTGGTAATGGTGTGGAACAACTTCAATTTACCTCCACAAAACTGGTGGTAGGAGGCCTCTAAGATAGCCCCCAATAATCCCCACCCCCTGCTGCTCCTCCCCATCTGTGATTCTCTGTCTTTCAATGTGAAAGACTTATCATTTCCCTTGTAACAAGTAAAATACAGCACAAGTAATGGAATGTCATTTCTGATATTCGGTTATAAAAAGTCTGTGACTTCTGTCTTGGGTTCTCTCTCTCCCTCTCCTTCTCTCCCTTTCTCTTTCTCTCTCTGAAGGAAGCTAGCTGCCATGTTTCAAACTGTTCAAGGGAGAGGTCCAAATGGTAAAGAGCTGATGTCACTGACAAACAGTCAGTGAGGACATGAGCCTGCCAAAAGCCACATGAGGAAGCTTGGAAATAGATCCTCTCCAAGATTACTCTTGAGATGACTGCAGCCCTATCTCACACCCTGACTATACCCTTTTGAGAGATTCTTAGTTACAGACAAACAGCTAAGCTCCACCTGGATTCCTGACTCACAGAAATTGTGAGATTGCATATGCTTAAGTTTCTAAGTTTTGGAGTAATATGTGGCAAAAGAAAACAAATACAGAACTCTAAGTTTGGCAATCACTAAGATGAGTCTTGATGGTGGCCTGAGTCCTATATTTTGTATATTAAGAATTACCTTGAGCTCAGATCTCTATTTGGATACAAAACCATCCTCTGCACATATAGACACTGGGGGACCAGAGTCACACGTTGCTGTGAGCTCCAAAACAGTATTCCAACTTCCAACTGGATATCGCTTAAAGAATGTCTCCACATGTAACGTTCCTAAATTCTCTCTAGTCCTGTTCCTCTACTGTTATTCTCTATTGTTAGGCTCAAGTCACAAACTTTGGAATATCAGCGATTCCCTCTCACTCTCACTGACTATAGCTTATCTCTAGAATCCTCCCCTTACTATCACTGTTCAACTTCACTACCAGGATCTCATACCTGGATTAGGGCAATAGCTTCCTGTCTATCTTCTCGCTTGTCCCAAGACTTCCTCTTGCACTGTACCCATTACAATCCTTTGTCCTTTTATCATTGGATCTGTAAATTTGTAATATTTAATGTGGAAACAAGCATATAAAAACAAAACTATCTTGAATTCCACCATCTTTAATCTGATTTAATTTCTGTACAGCCTTTCAGTCTCTGTCTACATGCAAAAAATATATCTCTGTCTATATGCAAAAATGTATATCATTTGATGGTAATAATATCTATATAATTTGTGTGTGTGTGTTTTACTTTTAACCATTTTCTCAATTTGCCACATTTTGTCTTTGAAATTATTATTGCCAATGACTGCACAATATTCCATGGAGGGGATATCCCTAAGATACTTAACTATTTCCCTATTGGACATTTGAGGTATTTCTAATATTTATTATTATAAGTGATATTGGATTATCTTCCTGTGAAAAATTGTTTTCCCCTTGTCAATTAGTTCATTATAGTAAATTTTCAGAAAGATAATCACTAGGATAACCATTCTGAAAACTTTTTGTTATTAGATAGATGTGCCTCATATTTTTCTGAGAAGATTGAACCTGGGGTATTTTGTGCCAAAAATGTAAAACAACATCTTTTAATTTCCAAATTTTTTGACATAGCAACATAATTATTTTAAAAATTCCCATTATAAGTGACTCATTTGACAGCATCAAAAAATTCCCATAGTAATGTGGACAGATGAAAGCATTTAGGAGGAAGGGAAGAGCAGAAGTACTTTAATTAGGACTGGACATATTTTTCTCCATTCCAATATGCAAGCAAACAAACAACTCTCACTCTATTTATTGACCTCTAGGAATGTAGATGCCTATTAATTTTCATACCAACTTTGTAAACGTAAGCCCCACTCTCAGTACTGTGCTCCTCCCCAGCGGGTGACAAGGCAGCTGTGCATAGAACCCACAGACCTCTCTTTCTTCAGAATACCCTGGGTACCTGGAATGCCAGCATACTCGGCCCAAATGGCCCTAGCCCAGATTTTCACAATCATAAACAATAAATTTAACTTTTATTCTAAATCTTCCTCCCTGTCCTATTCTTCTCCTTCCTTTTGTTCTCCCTCTCCCCTTCATCCTTCTCTCCCATCCCTCCTCATTCTTTTTCTTCTTCCTCTTCTATTTATATCAAGCTTTGTGCATAGAGGCCACACTAGTATAGAAATCAAGAGTGAAGACTGTGAAATCAGACCACCTGGGCTCACTCTCAGCTCTTACACACTTAAGCAGCATGAATATAGATACAATTGTCTCACTGTTCTTTGGTTTCCTCATCTGAAAAATGGGGATAACCTGACTGCTTCCTCCTGGAGTTGTTATGATGATTAAATAAGTCAATATATACCCGGCAATTATAACAGTGTCAGCACATGGTGAGTGCTCAGTAACTACCAGCCACTATGACCGAATCCTTTCACATCATTTCCTTAGAAAAGGTTTCCAGAAGGGTAATTACTGAGACACGGGGTAATAACACCTTTTATGCTCTTTTCATGCTTAACCTCCTGAAAGTGCAGCACTGATTTCCACTGGATGGTGACAGTTTCAAGGACTCCACCTCACTCAGGGCTGGAGAGGAAGGCATGGAGGATAAATGATTCACTGTGGCCTGGCCTGATGTCACCTTAGCAGTGGGCAGCCAGGCTTGTGTCTGAGGAAAATGCAGCTAGACTCACCCACATTATACAGTTGGCTGTGCAGTGGTGTCAAGCAACAAGCTGATACTGGAGAGAAGTCAAGGAGAAATACGATTGCCTCAGGATAGGCACTGCTCTTGTCAAGAAAATTCCTAGGAACATGAAGAGAGACGTGCTTAAACGGTTCTGTGAGTCATATCCAGGAATTTGTAGAACAAAAGGGCAATCACTCCATGGCCACGCAGGGCTCCTGACAGAGGGCTTTCATGGAAGGACCAAGGAGGGCCAGAGAACACAGAGCAGACCAAGTCATTACCTCCCTGGTGATTCCTGACCCACATTTACAGGAGCCGGTTTCCCTTTCTTCTTCTATGAGGGACATTAATAGTTCAGTTCTTTTTAGTAGACAGAGAGGTTCTGGGTATCTGAGGGGTTTAAGAAAGACTGACACACAGGACTGCAAGAAACTCGACGCACGCTGACAAGACCTGACTTCCCCAAAATAACTTACTCACCAGATCCTTGTTGCTGGTAATTTAGCAGCAGTTGGGGCGTTTTCATGGTTGTGTTGAAAGTCAGGACACTGGGTTGATGCGACTGCTACTGACAATGATGAAAAAAGGTGAGAATGTGACAATGATGATAATGAAAATAATGAAGAGAATGAGAAACTAATATGGACTGAGCATGCCAGTGCTGGGTGCTTTCATATGTTTTATCTCAACTCATTTTCATGACCTCCCTAAGAGGTGAATATAATTATCCCCATTGTACCTTACAGAGGTTAGGTATCATGCCCATGGTACCATAGCTGCTATGTGCCCACCAAGGATTTAAATTCCTGTCCACATTTAAAATCCTGGGTTTTTTCCCCCAAATTCTATGCAGTAGATAAAAACACCATGAAACAAAAACAAAAAACAAACCACCCAAAACAGAACAAAACACAATCCATCTTGGAGAAATACCCCCATGTAACCTTTCTGAAGGGCATTGGACTTTCTGTAATTACAAAACTAACTTTGCTGCATGTCGTGTACTTTGTGTTTTCTGCCTTAAAGCCAATTAAACACATTATCCCTGCCAGGACCTCAGACTAAAAACCAGTTCCAGATTTGTGAGAGTCTGGAGATGTGGGGATTAAAGCAGCCTGATCACAGAGGGTTAGACTATTTGAAGGGTGAGCAGCCTTCACCCAGCGATCCTAGCGACCTGGTTCGCCTTATGGGGCAGCCATCAGATTTCTCAGCAGATCAGTTGTTCCCAGCTGACTTGCTCATCTGAGCAGCCACAGAGCCCTCACGGTTGCCCACTGAGAGCACACCTGAGACTGCCCGGCTTGTCAGTGCCCGGCAAGTTTGCTGACCTGATTAACCTATGATAATTATTTTGTGAAGCTACACAGAAGGCAGAAGGTACTAGACAGACAGCTCTGTTGGCCAGGCCTTCACAGTTCATTTCCACAGGGCATTCCCATTTAAGTCTCTGGACATGAGCTAGATTCATCCCCACATATTTCTTTCCCTTTTCTGCTTGTTCTCTTCCCTGCCCTCTATCGTGCACATACCAGGGCAGGGTCAACAAGTTCCTTGTATAAAAAGATGCAGAGTGAGGAAAAAAAGAGAAAGGTGACTAACTCATTTTCAGGACAAGCTAAGCAGTCTAATGCATATTTAATAGAACAGCTTTGCAAAGCAACAGTTGTGTCTCCCAAGAATTATGGAGTTTTTAAGGCAAATGACAGAAGGGAATTTCCCGAAATGTTCCTCAGTGGAAAGAGCAGAATGTTGACTTTTATGGAATCATGATCTCCAGGCATGGTGACTGAGACAGTTTTTGTTGGTTACAAACCTGGTTTGAATCTTGTTCTTGAACAATTCTGGTCTTATGATTTTGCACTGAGTTTTTCATTTCCTGGAACCTCAGTGTCTTCATCTTCCAAGTGGGAATAATAATAGTCAGTCATAGGGTTGTTATAAGGACTGCATAAGAAAATATAGATAAGAAGCTAAGCACAGTGCTCAACACAGAGAAATACCAAATAACTGGAAGCTGTGATGATAACACATGTTGTTACTTGGGGTATCATATCTAAAGGAGAGTCCAGGAAACAAGGTCATACAGTCCAGGTACCATGATGCAAGGTAGAATCAGGAGTCCAAGAATCATGGAATGAAGGGATTCCTGAAGGGGTTCTCTTAAGAAGGCTGGAGATGTCTCTTCTGCTATAAAGGGGATTGACTAAATGTGCATTCAGGAGATGGTATGTGGAAGAGTAATTTTCTTTGGTCCCAGTAGACTGAAAACCAGAACTTCTTTTAATTAAACCACAGAGGCTGGGCACGGTGGCTCAGTCCTGTAATCCCAGCACTTTTGGAGGCCGAGGTGGGTGGATCACAAAGTCAAGAGATGGAGACCATCCTGACCAACATGGTGAAACTCCGTCTCTAGTAAAAATACAAAAATTAGCTGGGCATGGTGGTGCATGCCTGTAGTCCCAGCTACTCAGGAGGTTGAGGCAGGAGAATCACTTGAACCCGGGAGGCGGAGGTTGCAGTGAGCTGAGATCACGCCACTGCACTCTAGCCTGGTGACAGAGTGAGACTGTCTCAGAAAATGAATAAATAAATAAATTAATTAAATAAATTTAAAAAAAAACCATGGATACCCCTTGAGAATTATGACTTCATTCTTTTCTTGAAGTCAGGCTCAAAGAGCAGCTGTCAAATTATATCCATCCACTTCAAGACCTTGATCTCTTTCAGAAAGTTGCAGGCAGGGAAAGGTCATATCACATTCTAGGCTCATATTATTGAGGTCTGGTTTTCTGTTCTTTCATATTTACTCTCCCTTTTGCTCATGCAAGAAGACTAGATGTCAAATCATGCAAATAATCTGTTAGTTAAAATTTTTAAAGGGAAGAATGTAATGACACTAAAATTTGGAAAAAGAAAACAAATCATTCAAAATCATTTTGTGTCATCTCCTTTTATTTACTTTATCTGAATCCACTTAGACTTTAGGTAGTCATAATGAACTTTTAAAATGTTTGCTTCTTTCCCCGATACTTATATCATAAGTGCTTTGTGCTTTTCATTTAGTCTTCATGGTTATCACTGCAGATCGTTCCATAGTATTATTGTCCCTAATGTTGGATAGCTAGGGTTTTTCACGTTTTTTTTCCTCCTTCGAGTTAATGCTACAAAGAACATTATCCTGTATAGATTCATTTTATTCTTTTTAATGATCTCTTCAGGATAAATTCCACATTTGGAATGATTTATAATTCTTGATATGTTATCATATTGCTTTCTAGAAGATCTATACTAATTTTTATTGTCTCCAGAATAGAACACTTACGAAATTACCAGACCTGGATGCTATTTTTCTTAATTTGCTAATTCTTTTTCTGATGATTTGTTAACATAGTCATGTTCACAAGACTTATTAATTGTTTACAATTCCTCTCAAATTATCTGCTTTTACAAAAAACAAACCTACCAGGTATCCTAAGTGTGACTGTGATGGGTCAACCCTGGGTTCCCCGAGGCTGGACCCTCAAGAGGCTATAATAGGTTGGATTGTCTCAGAAGCAGATCCTGATATAGAGAGTAGCATGGAGAAAATCTGCTAGGGAGGGCTCTTAGGATTAAGACCTTGGAAGGGAAGAGAAGAAAGCAGGATCTATTGGGCAGAGAGAGAAGTCAAGGTGTGGTGTAGTCTTGATGCACAGGAGTTCACAATGTCCCACAGGAAGTTGTGAAGATGGGATGACGGCTTTTGAGAGCTATCGAATTTTAGGTTGAGAAGCTTGAGCATATAAACACCCTGACAATCAGTCACTGGATGCAGATGGCTCTGAAAGAGTGTGTGAACTTGGGTCAGGTCATCTCTTCAGCTGAGACCCTGCAGGGGCTAACAGTTGAGGGCTAGCTTCCCACAGAAATCTTTCCAGGCAGTGACAAATTCTTGATTCCTGAAGGGGTACCTGGGCAACCAGTCACAGTGTGCAGGGCCGCATAAGGAGTTTAGACACAAATCCACTTCAGTTGCATTTTTTGCTCCAGCATTAACAGAGGTGTTATATCTCATTCCACCGTGGCCCTGAAAATCTGAGCATCTGACCCTGGCCTCCTGCTCAGTCCACTTCTCAAGGCACTGTGGTGCTGGGGATGAAGGGAAGAGAGACTGAGCAGGTTAAGGGGCACAGTTTAGTAGGGGAATCAACAAGTGACACACAGTACTGTGCAGGGAGTCTCCAGAACCAAATGGGGAGCTTAGGGAAGGCTTCTCAGAGATAAAGCTTAAGTTAACATTGGAAGGAGGAATAGGAGTTTATGAGGGGAAAAACAAACAAACAAACAAACATTATAACCATCTGCCCCTCATCCCTCCACTCCTCTACATTCTTACATTCTTAACAATACTTGAGCCTGCTCATATTGGTCTGCCACGAATGCTCTTCTTCATCCTCATCCACTTGCTTAAGTCTTACTTATTCTTCAGAGCCCATCTGAAATGCACCTCTTCCCTACAACTTTCCCTGCCTTAGTCCAGAGGTACAGGTGACTCCAAAGGAGGTTCTCTCTCCCTGCATGTCCCCGCCCACAGCACTTAGCATCCATGTCTGCCACAGCCTTCATCACATGCTTTGCCTCCTCCACTGAACCATAAACTTAGATTCTGTGACTTCTTTTCAGGCTTGCCACAGAGAGAGAACTGGGAGACTGCTGGACCATGGTAAACCAATTGAAAGATCATCTCTTGAAATTCAATCCTAAATGCCATTGCTGGAACTCAGTAGCTTCTCAATAAAAAATACACACTGAATAAATTTACATATTCAAGTTCATTTTCCATTAGCTTTCCTTTAAGGAAATCACTTTTTTTTTTCCTCAATGGTATCTGGGAGAACGTCCACTTCCTAATACGTGTGGTTTTCTCTCCTGCTTGAGAAACCTGAGCCTTCCTAAAGATCATCAGTCCACTCCACCAGCCCCACCTACCAACGAGCAGGCCAATGCATGTCTCCTTAATTAATACAGAGCCTTTTTTTTTTCCTTGTGAGAATGCCAAACCTACTCTCCTATCTGAGATGAATAACCCCAACTAAAATAGAACCCACTGAGTCTTCTAGCCAAGGAAGTGGCTGGCAGAGATGGGATTGGGGGGCTGTTGGGGGGATGGGTAGAGCACATTTTGAAGCATAAATTTCCCAGGGTCAGGACATTTCATTAGGAGACTTCTAGATGTGTTTTTCTCTCTAAAGACTCAAATGAAAGTCCAGAGAATTTACCAACTGCAGTGAAACATTCTGGTGCTTTAAAACCCTTTCTTTATCACCAGGAGCCCTGTTGCCCATTAATTGTAAACAAGTTTGCTCGTTGATCTAACAAATGCCTATTTATTTTTTTAGGTTCACCCTGTTTCATTTTTAATTAAAATTGTTGCATTGATTTGTTTTTAAAATAATAGCGAAGACTCTGACTTTGTAGGTTGAGAAATAAATTATCATTTGAAGGATTAGAGTGGCTCTTCTTTTGATTTTAATAAAGATTAGAAGAAGAAAAAGAAGCACAAAGGAATGAATGCAGCTCCCCCAA